GACTTCACTGATTGGTCGGGTCAGGTATACTACAAGATCAGGTGGTGAGAAGTCGATGAGGGATGACTGGTGAAAGGTACTCCAGTATGAGTGATGAAGGGCACCAATAATCCTATTCTGTGTGGAGGATGGTCAGAATGGTACTGCGGGTGCCGATCACAATGTGCCCACAGATGATAGTCTCTGAGTTCGGGCACAGTTAGGGTAAACTTTCGGAAGGCGTCTTAGTGTATTGATAATTTGTAATTGATGATAATATGTAATTATTATTCCTATATCTGTTTTATTATATCGAATGATTTAATATTTACCCCTATTTTTCCATGTGGATAGGACTGCGATGATCACTTTATGTGGGAATAGATAAGGAGTTGAGAGGTGAAGATGCGACTACTGGACAACAATGATAGTTACTATGTGGGAACTACTTTTGCATGTATCTATATAAATAAATTATGTTACTATGTTTTGAGGTTCCGCTAATGAACCAAGATTTCAATCTATATTACAATTACGAGTAATATAATGTAATATAGATATTGTTATCTATGTGTTTACTATTTTGCAAATATATCATTATAGTAGCGATTTTTAGAGTCGTTACAATTAATATCGATGATTAAATTCTAACAAATCTAATAATAAATATACTACTAAATCGAAAACAATATTAATTAAAATAAAAGTAGGATTAATCAAAATAATTATGATTTTTTATTAATGTACTTTATATTACAATAAATTGTAAATTGATAAAAATATTTCTTGTCATATTTTAAATCTATTTAAATTGTACTCTTTTTTTTCTTATATCCAACAAAATCATTCAAGCCACTAATAAACAAAACTAGCTTATAGCTTTATAAGCCAATCAAATTTGCCTTCCCCTTTTAATTTTTCATTATCTGTATTTTAAGTTTCTTATGTAAAAATTAAGAAAGATAATATCTTTTTTATTTTTATAAATAGTAATGAATTTTATATTTTACTTTTCATTTCTACTTTTTTTGTGGTGATTTTAATTTTTTCTTTATACACAATACTAAAAATAAAATAAAATAAATATATAATAAACAATAAATAATTAGCTTTTAAAAAAATAAATCAACAAAATATTATAATTTTGATTTAATGATAATATCAACTTACAATATTCTATTTGCTGACTTTAATGATAATAAAAATCAAGAAATATGTGAACGTGTAAAATTAATAGTGTATAAAACGTTTTCTTTGCCTTGTGTACATACATGTCGAAACTCATTAATATTAAAAATAAAATATTTATTTATATTACATATTATTTTCATATTTGTTATTTATATTTAATATGTTATTATTTAATATAATTCTATCAATTCTTATTAATATCTTTCTGTATTCTATATATAAAGATTCGGACAAAAAATAAATCTAATCTCGTATTAAGGTTGACTTGGTTTTGTATGCAATTTTTTTTAGGATAAAACGAGCATTTTATATCATTAATTAATCAATTATATATTTATTATGATTAATAATAATGTAAAAAATATTATTAACTCTAATAACCACCTTGATTCCCATATCCAATAAGTCTACAGTTTAGTAAATAGACGATGGAGAGGAAAAAGGGGAGAAAAGTGTGGTTTTTTACATTAAAAGGACATAAAAGTAAGTTGCAATAATGCCCTAGATTCCCCAAATGGGACCTCATTGCAAGGGAAGTTTGTTGGTTTGTGATGGAGGGTTTATGCCCCCACCACACTCTAAATTAAATTATTTTAGCCCTTCAATTCATGATGAGATGGGGTCTTTGTCGCCACATATCTGTGTTAAGATCTCAAATCAAAGTCTCCTTCTTTCTGTCTTTTCAACAATTTCCATTGCTTCTAATTTTCTTTTCTCTTCTCTTCTCAAAACCCTCCGTTTCCAGATATCTGGTTTTGTTGTTTACGATTCTACGTTCGTCAACAAGTTTTCACAAATTAAAATTATTAGGTTTTCTTTCTTTGATCCCTTCCCTCAAATGGAACCATTATTGATGAAAGTGATGGAAATTTATTTTCCTAAGCAAAATGCCATACATCACGGGTTCCATTTCAATATTTTGCAAAAATGTCATACATCACCAATTTCATTTCACCATTTTTTTTATTTTTTATTACTTTAGGTACTCTTACCAAAAGACTAATGATTAGTTTCTTGAAATATTGAGATTTATTTTAAATATTAACACTTTTAATAAATAGTTTTTCATACACATAAAATTGAAAAACGTATTTAAAGATTAAAGTTATTCATAGTTATTTTAATTTGTAAAAATTTATTTAATTATTATTTTGATGAATTAAAGTAAAATATTTTTATTTTAATAGTTCAAATTTTATATTTTTTATCATTATGGGTCATATATTCGTATTTTTTGACTTCATTTCTGTCTTTCTTAATCATTTTTATATCTAAATCTTGTTAAATAATAAACATTCATCTCTTATTATTCCATTGGATTTTAGATTTTTCGTCATGGTTTATTCCATTTCATATTATTTTTAAACAACAAAATTATATTTATAAATAAATATTTATAAACACATTTTGTTGTGGTACTTTTTTCCCTTAAGATTCGTGTCTACGTCAAAATAAAAGTTGTACTTTTTATTTATTTAAAATAAACATGTTCTTTCTTAAAAAGGAAAGCGTTTGGTGTTAATATCATACCTCTTTTCTTTGTTTTACGCTTTCTTTTCTTTTACTTTCTTTATAAACTTTGTATAACATAAAACCATTACATAGAATATGATAAACCAAAATGCAATACCAATTTTAATTATTATTTTTACATTAAATATATATATATATATATATATATATTCTTTTATTTTTAAAATATAATTAATAATTTAATATAAATTAAAATTTTGTGACGACTTAGTTACTTTCTGAGATGACAAAATAAACCTAGCCTCGGACACCGACACATATTTTTTTTAAATATATAATGATAAATATTATATATATATATATATATATATATATATTATCTTTTAATTAGTTATATTTTATATAATTTCTCTAAATTGTATAAATTATTTATTTTAATTTTTTTTAATAAATGTTAATTTTTATATATTTCACATCTTGAATGGTAAAAAGAAAACCTAAAATATTTATTTTAAAAGAAAACAAAAAAACAAAAAAAGTTGGATGTACGTATCGATAATATTTTTTAACAATTTTTTTTTCTAAAAAGTTATATAAAATTACATTTTATAATGTAAATAAAAGTATAGCTTAAATCGAGTTGGGTCATTTTTTTACCTGTGTTTAATATGTGAGTTAAATTTACTAAATTAGATTCACCTTTGAATTTATGAATAAGTTTTATAAAATAGCAATAATTAAATGAATTTTTTTCGTCTCATTGTTTGTAATTTTTTAAAATTTGTTTACTATTATTTTAAGTATCAATTTGATTTTTTTTAAGAGTATTAATATTTTCTTTCCTTGATAAGTTGTTTAATGAACAAATATAATTTGACCTCATACTCCATTTTCTTTGAGACAATTTAAGATCGTTGATAATGTTGATTCATTTAAGAACAAAATATATTAAATTGATAATAAAAAATATTTAATCAATTTAAAAAAGTAATATTATTTTATTAATATATATATATATATATATATATATATATATATATATATATATATATATATATTATGATATAGGTTTAGAAGTTTGAGACTAGGTTGAAATTTCGATTTGAAAGTGATAAAATAAGGTTTGGAAAGGATAGAATATAAGCAAGTATTTTTTTGTCATTTAGAATTTTCTTGATAATTTCAAAATTAAAAGAATTTTTTTTATATAATTTCAAAATAAATTATAAAAAAATAAGTAAAATATAATTATTTGAAAAAAATATAATATTAAAAGAAATTATATATATATATATATATATATATATATAATTACCTTGTTTATCTAATAAAATCATTACTTTATTAAAATTATGCGTCTAAAAAATATAATTATCTGAACTTGAATATTTTTGTTATCTTAACTATAATAATTAATATTTATACTTTTAATGTTAAAATAACTATACTTAAATAACAAGAAAAAAAATACAATTAGAAAATATCATAAACAGATAAAAAAAAAAACAATACTCTAAAAGAAATCGACAGTTATAATATTTACTTACGTAGAAAAATAAAAATAGATAACTTAAAAAAAGTATGTGATTCCAAATCTTTACTTGATAAACGTTACTAATAAATCTATAATATTAAAAATTTTAATTAATAAAATTATGTTACTACCAATACTCCTATCTAGATACATTAGATATGAATTATGTATTTTGTGATCCATGCCTGTGATTACTTATTGTATTCTTACTTTACAAATGCTAAACCCAAAGTTTATAATACATTTGTCACTTAGTTTATTTAAAAGGTTTAAAAGGGAAAAAAGGATCCCTTTTGAAAAGCACAAGGAATGAATTTCTTTAATTTATTAACAACTTTTAGGGAATGTATTTTGTGTGTGAATTGGAACCAATCTAGGGAATGTGACCATTCACTGGATTGGTGGCCACCACACCCTCTTGCCATTGAAGGGAGATATGCCAAATTTAATCAGAAGAACAGAAACTTCTTCAAGAAACAAACTTTGTTTGAATCTAAATAATGAAAGCAAAAATAGATAAATGAATAAATAAAGAACCATTTTCTGTGTATCTTTCATTCACTAGTAGCCTTTAGACCATGGCAATATTAAGTAACTAAACTTGTCCACAAGCAAAAAAAATGCTACTCTTCCTCCTTTTTCTGCTTCCTTCAGGATTCAAGAAGAAGATTTTCCTTCTGGCTTGCTTATTTTTCTGCAGAAAAAGGAGGGAAGAAAAAAATAAAAGGAAAAGGGGTGCTGTTGCAGAATATAAACCAACCTACTAACCCAGTATACAACAATACATACTCAACCACATTGTTCAATTTCTATGTTTGCATTTTCATTTTCCCAATTTGCTCTTCAAGAGCTTCTCTTTTGTTTGAATTGAATTCTTCTTGCCATTCATGATCCTCAGGCTTTGCCTTAACAAGTCAAACTCCCTCTCCTTTTTGTACTTCTCTTTCTCCATTGAAAGCAATTGGGATTTTAAGGACTTGATAGTTTCCTCCTTTTCTTGCAATTCCTTCCTCAGATTTTCCATTTGGATGTCATTTTCCTCTGCTTTCCAATACAGACCATCCCCTGTGAAACACATGGCAAAAACAAATCAAAACAATACACATTTGTTTCAAGCTGATTATGCAGTGAATGATTGAATTGAACACCAAAACATTGAACATTTAGAAGTGTAAGGTGATTTAATTGAACCCCACCACCACAATCCACTTTTCAAAGGACATTAATAGCATAAAAGCACAAGGCAAAATCACCATGAATTCATGTTCTACAAATCATAATTTGCTTAAACAAGTACACTAGTATAGAGAGAGAAAGAGAGAGACCATCATATGTTCTTTGAATGAGTTCATCAAGCTCTGTCTTGATTTCAAGATAAAGTTTCTTCCATTTCTCCACAGCTTCATCTCTCCTTGCTCTCTCCTCCTTCATCTGCTCAACCAAGAGCTTAGTCCCCATCAATTCCCACTCCTTCTCACTGTTCTTCTCCATCATTCCAACCTCCATCTCCCTTATCTTCTCATCCTTCTCTTCCACCAAACTCCTCAACTGCTTCACCTCCTCCCTCAGCCTCTTCCCCTCCTGCTTCCAATCTGCCTCCTTGAAAGTGAACACCATTATTTCCCTCTCGTAGCTCCTACTCTCCTTCTCCCTCTCATACATCATCTCCTTTATGTCCTCTTGCAAGAGCCTCACTTTCTCCTTCAAATTCATCACATATTTCTCAGAACTCCTCCTCCCACTCTTGCTCACACTTCCACCCATGTTCAATGTCCTTGAGGGTGCTTGACTATGAAAAGTGGTGGTGGGTTTTGTGTGTTGTCAACTTGTTATAATAGGGACGAGAGAGAGGAAGAGATGATGATAATGATGGAGGATGAATGGTGGTATGAAACTTGAGTGCAGGGTAGGCTATAGGCTCCTGACATTGATAGAAAATGCACCAAGAATTTTGGGCTATTTTATGAAACTCAGATAAGGGTCACTGTTGTACTTATATTTCAATAATGGAAGTGGTGAAATGAGGCTCGTGAATAGCACTTGCCAATTAGTAAGAATTTACATTCAACACATATACACCACATGTTTTTCCTGCATACCAATTATAAATAAGAATTCACCTATTCACATGCAAATATTTCTTGGGAGCGTGGGGTAGATTTATCACCCCACAATAATTAAACAATATAATTGGCTAGTTCCAATTGGTCACACTCCTGTGTATTATTTTATGCTTCTATGTATTAGTCCAGGAAAAAAGTTCTGATTTTTCTTATACTCTTCAATAAAAAAGGGTTTTTTCTTTGACTTTATCTTATTGCTATTTCATTCTGTTGTGTTTTTTCCACTGGGAAAATAATCCACTGATAATTCCAAAAGATTTCTTATCATTAATTAAGTGTCTGAAATGGGTGTTAAGGGGGTGTCCCTGATGATGAAAATGATTGATAACTTTTATAATAAAATCTAAAATATTTTGAAATCTAAACGAAAAATTCGAAAATAGTTCAGTAACTAATTAACAAATTCAAAACCTTTTAGAGAGAAAATGCAAAATAAATAAAAAATTCAGAGACCCACATAACAAAAGACAATTTTTTAAGAATGAAAAGTGTTTTCAAGAACTAAATAGGTGTTAAATTGTGACTGTATCATAAAATAATGCAAGGTTGTAAATGAGCATGCTTGTGCAGTATTCCTTCCCACATGGTCATAGTACATCTGAACATAACTCTCGTGAAGTTTTGTATCAGTTTATTAGAAATTAATGATATGGTTTAGTTTTTTAGGTCACAAATTCAGAGACAAGAAAGCAAGAGAAAAAGGAAAAGAAATCTGTACTTACTAGGTGACAATTTGTGCAAACGAAAAGTCAATTTTGATCAGACGGAAAAAAGTAAAGAAAATTCATGTATGCTTGCTGAACTTTAGTAATGGAGAAACTTCCCTCTAATTATCAGAAAGGAATAAAGAAATGTTTTCCACTTTTAATGAACAATAGAATAAACTTGGCCCCATAAGTCACATGAGGAACACTTAAACCCCCACATATTTTTGAAGGATAAAAAGCACATTAAATAAACCAGCAAAATATAGATTGGAACAACTGTCAAATTGTGACCAAAATTGTTACAGAAAACTGCTGGAAAGAAACATTGGCTGGTCCATGCCAACAAGAGAGATGGTAGATTAGGTCAAGAACAAAGGTTATATCATTGGAAGCACATTTAGAGAGAGTGACAACAACAATATTCTCAAGCTCAGCCTCAGGCATGTTGGAGAAGAACCCTATTTTTGCAGGCATTGATTGTCTTTTGGTTCCATAGAAACAAAATTTCAATGCATGATATTTGTATATTTCCCTATATAAGACAGCATGCATGTTTGTACAAAAAACATTAATAATGGTTTTGTGGATGCCACCTTTGGATTCCCTGCATGAAAAGGACTTGCAGCATTCCTGCAATTATGGCCTTGCAGAGTAGATTTTCCCTGCAAGGGCAATCACTGAGCCTCATTAAATTGGCCTCTGTTTTACTTCATCTTCTTTGGTATGGTATATCTTACTGTCCTTTCTCCATATCACTACATTTCTATGTGCCCATGCCCTTATGCCACCAAATCAACTTCTCAAAAACTCCTCAAATTTCATATTAGTTTGGTTAAAACTTATCAACTAGGTTTATCAATTAATTTTTATATTTTAAATTGATAAATTTAGTCTTTCAAAATTTAATAAATATGTAATTTTATTTATTCTATAAACTAAAATTTAATATTCAGTATTTTTTTATAATCACAAAATTGATAGTTAATATTATGTTATTTTAGTTTATATATATATATATATACACACACACACACACACAACCACTTATTTTATTAAACATCCCAACAATATTTACATATGTTAACATTTTAGATTTTTTTTGTTTTTCTTTAATTCTTATAATAAATGTTGAAAATGTCCTGGTTTCCATTTACTTTTTCCCACTCTAATATTATAAAAAGTAAAAGATATATTTTCTATAATTTTGAATGCATTTTATGATATATTTTCTTCTTCTTTTGATATTGGTGCAGGATAGCACTGGTTAAGACTAATTACACACACAAAAAGATGGTTAAAGTTAAAGTGTGTGCAAGGAGGAATGATGAGGTAATAAAGCTCTTGATAATGACTTCAATTTATTACTGAATGTTGGGTGTTGCATTGAATGATGAGAGTGAATAGGTTGAGTGAATCGAAAATAATTTTATTATTTGGTAAGAGTATACTTCAATAAGAGTAGGTAAATTATTTGTTACTGGTTGTTCTAAATATTGATATTTAATTAATGGATTAATTTGTATAGATGGAAACTGCAGTATTGGGGTACCTGTGCTTCATTAATAGTATTTAAAAAAATTCAATCAGTATTTCCTTTACTTGAAATTCAATCATAATATATCTGAAAATTAAAGAGGAAAATTTATAAAATTAAATATCTATAAATGATAACGGATAGATCCAACAATAATAATTAAAATAGACTTATATATTTTTCTTTATTTTTTTTGCAATTGTTGTCTTATACATATAGTTGTTATTTAAGTTTAAGTATTAATTATCTTGTTAATAATTATATTTTATATTTTTAATTATAATTATTGTAATTTTTTTAATAAGTTATTATAAGTAATTTCACACGAGGAAAGAAGATTAAAATGGTAAAGATATTATTAACAAAATTTAATAAAATTATTTTACAAAATAAAATTAACATTTTATTAATAGGTGTAGTGAATGACATGTTTAGAAATAAAGGAAAAACTATATAATGTGAATTTTATCAAACTCAATATTTTAAGTCAACTATATTATTACTCTGTGGGACTTAAAAATAACAATCTATTGTTAATAATAGACGTCTACCTAGGACATATATGTTATCCTTTTCTTCAATATTTCATTCATTTTGTTTGTATCTTAGTCTCTCCACAAATTACAATAAGCTTGTACTTATCCACTTCAAACTATTTTTCATAAATTCTGTATAATCTTACAATATGTGTTACAATCTCTACCGATTTCTCATCTATACTTTCTTTTCCGATCTTGAATAATGTCTAGAATTTAACTACTTGCTGAAACGGCCAGAAGATAATAATCTATTTGGAGCTTGCTCTACTGAATTATCGTCTGCTGTATTTTCTGTTTTATTTTGAGGAATAAAACATATATTCTCTCATTTTCTCGGTTAATTATTCTTCTACTTTTCCGTTCTTTAACAATAGTAGTGTTAAAGAAAAGTGTATCAATTACACCCCAACTTATAAAGTTTAATAAAAATTCAGAAAATAGTTATTAATTCATATTTCAATGCCAAAAGCCTTTGGATGATGTTACCATTTGTTTTTTCTGAAGAAAGGAGGGTGGTATATGGCTGCTCAAGCTATTTATCTACCATCATCCTCATTCAAAATTTACAACATCGATGAGTGTCAAACGGAGTATACAGATTTTGCATCATCTGCACAACACGGGACAGAAAAACACAGGGTCCTCATTGAAAAGAAGATGGCATAATCATGGTTGTAGAAGCACCCGACAATCAATAAACAAAATCATACAAAATCTTAACCCATAATTGAAGAGGAAAAACTATTGAATAAGTAGTATACAACATAAGACCATAGGATTTGCTGCGCATTTACATCTTAATCCATAATTCAAATAAATTCTTATTAGGGTTAAGATGAATTTGCATTTCTCAAACACTAATTCAAGTCAACATGTAGGCTGCCAATCTCCCGACAGAAAAGCAATTGAAAGTAACAAGAACGAATTATTTGCTATCAGGGATGCTAATCGGTTCACTACGTAACTTTCAAACATGCAACCAAAATAACAACTAGATATGCATATGACCATGGCTATACCTAAAACACAAAGCTAAAACTTTACCTGCGATAGCTGATAAATTGAAAGAATTAGGGACATTAGCCTCAGCCTCAACTGCAGCTTTAGCCACTACAATGCCAACTGACACACTTTGCATAATATCTAATCCTGCACAAATTGATGTGAGTGTTCCACCGACTAAGCAATCACCAGCACCAGTAAGCCTCACAACTGAAGCAGGAAGAGATGGAAAATGCACAGCACAAAGAGGAGAGCTTTTATCAAGTTTTGAAAAGCCAGAATAAGGACTAGGTGGGCAATTTTGCATGAAACTCTTGTATAATTGTCCACCAAAACCACTCCAATTTATTTTCTCTCTAGGTTTTTTTAAGTAGTTAGGGCCTTCTTTATTGCATAAAAAGACTCCATTAGAGCCAATGGTCACTAGGACCACTTCAATGCCTTTTTCTAACAAAACCCATATTACTGGTTTCAGCATTTGAAGCAAAGACATTACTGAAATTTTTTCTTCTGACTTTCTGAAAGTGGTTGAAACACATCACTACAAGATAAATCATTTGCCATTGCAATAAGTTTATCTTCATTTGGAGAAGAAAAAGTCACCTAAACAAGGTATGCACACATGTCAAAAAAATAATTTATACAAAAAAAACACATGCTATCCTATGATTTTGGCAGAGTTAAATCATATACACATTGATCAAATTAATATATCTAAAAGTCATTCTAGCAAAAATTTTAAATTTATGCATATAATATTGTTATTAAGATGATGAATATCAAGAATTCAAGACAAAGTAAGGAAAGTTGATGACACAACAATACCAAACAAACTGTTTACAACTATTTATTGCAATCAGGGATATTATAAGATACCGTGAATGGCATGTATTCATATAAATAATGGAAACGGTTGTACATTGTATTTATGACTAACATAAACAAGAGCCTATGCTGTGTAAATTAGCGCAATTCATCCTGTCTTTCATTCTTCTGTCTCTTTCTCAACAACTATTTCAGACTCTTGCAATCCCCGATTACTCAGACACCTTTGATCAACCCATGAAATAACTCTAAGAAAGAATATTTGTGCAGAGCATAGCACTCACATACTAGACAATAAAACTGATTCTTCGGCTCAAACCACACAGGACACTCCATGTCGGCCGCCACTGAGGAATGTAGATATTTATGCCATGAAAACAACAACTTCTGTAGTGAGTTTGCAACCCAGTAGAGAGATGGAAAAAGAGAATTAAATTAGCATGCAATGTACTTTTACAAGCAGCTTCAAGAGCAGAATGGCTCAGATTTGCATCGACCATTAAAACTGAAGCAGAAAGTAAAGTGCTTTTGAAGTGTAAGATCCAGTCAGGTGTAAGATATTTTTCCTCCAACAAAATGATACTTTTTCCTTGCTTCAGTCTTTTATATAACTGTCATTACAAAAATAAGTTCCAAAATTCATCTTTTAGCTTGCTTAAGTTAGTATATCACTGGCTATGCTTGAATGGTCAACTTACAAGAGCCTCCACACTAGCAACACCAGCTGCTACCTCACCTTTAACATCAAATATAGTGCATACAACTGGTGTTTCAATATCTTTATCCTTCAATATACCTACCTCAAATTCAATAATATACAATAACAATCATTATTTTACATAGTTATGGTAGATCTAATGAAAAAACCACGAAGAAAAAATAACTTACCTTCTGCATATAAGCCAGCAGATTTCCACTGATTCAACAACAGGTTTCCTAGATGAAAATAAAAATAAAGAGAATAAAGGAAAAATTCTGAAAGTTTCTTCTCTACATTTATTCTCCAAATGTCACTTTCATCAAAGTATCTTCTGATACATACACAAGTCATTAATGGCAGAATATTCTTAACAGATTAGCATGACATGCATATCAGTTTACCTCCTTAGAGGAATGTATTATTCAAAACATTATAGATTGAGATACTTTATAATTTGTTAATTGTAGGAATAAGGGAAGAATGAAGATACTAATATTATATATATATATATATATATATATATATATATATATATATATATATATATATATATATATATATAATGGTTATCCATTAATCATTGTATTGTCCCTGCTGATGGATATGTGATACAAAAATTAAAGTTATTAGATGTTTTAGTAACGCAATGATCAATTTTTATGTATTTAACTGGTTAATAAAGTGTAGAAAGTCTAATACTGTACTCAAGGATCTAAGTAATTAAAGGTAATCTAAAAATAAGTGTTACGCATTGGACATCATAAATTAAACAACCAAGGGAGTCAAATATAGAAAACTACTGGAGTTGATTAGTAGGAGTTGAAATGTATTATTGATCAGATTAATTAAGTATTACAGGTAAAAGCAAACCGTATCTATTTTATAGAAGGGCATCGTTTATTTGTAGGATGGATTTCATGATCTTTAGTAGATTTCCACCCAAGAACCCTTTCCAATCCAATACAATTTCCTCTCATTTCTAGGATTGCGCAGATTCTTCAAAAATTTATTTTATATCATTTTTTTGTTAAAAAACAATACTACTTTTGTACTTTAGTCTAAGTATGACAAAAACACATCTCCAAATTTTTATAAATAAATCAGAAAAATGTCTCCACTATGAACAACCAACAAATTTAATAAAAACCAGTTGAAGTTTCCATAAGGGGTGCCTCTTGACCACAATAAATGCTCAAATATATTAAAAAAAAGAAAAAAGAAAACAGCATAGCAAGAAAATGCTTTGTGATGTAAGAATTTACCAGCCATGTCAAACCCAATAGCCCTAATCATGAATGGCTTTGATCCTAGTTTTGACATGCACTCTGCTACATTCCTAGCCACACCTCCTTGGACATAATAGACTTGAATATTTTCCGGTATAAGAAGATAGGTACAAATATAATAGAAAAACAACACTTAAGAAATTTCAATCAGAGGTGATTGTCACAACAGTAAAAGAATGCTTATTCTTGTCACACCATTAACAAGATTGAGTTAACCAATGCCTGTTGGTCTAATAGCAAGAACTTCGGGCTTGTTGTTTACTGTTTAAAAACAGTTGATAGGTTTGTTTTCACTAGTGGTTGCACTACATCACTTATTTTCGGTATCATAAAATTGTTAAAGTCATTCTCTAGCTTTTATCATTACTCTTTGTCACAACATGTCATCCTCTTCAATCCAAAACAGTTTAAAAAATAGAGTTATCAAATAATTATGTTTTTCCAATTAATTCTCAAAAGCAGTTCTTCAAAATTGATTTCTAAAACTATTTTGAGAAACCAAAAAGAAAAATTAAATCTACCTCTCATTTTAATTTCCCATCATCTTCACTTAATGTAATCAACTTGAGACTTATATTGACTATTTACAAATGAATGGGTTGTATATAGTTCTCTTAAGCACTTCGGTATTTCAACTTTATATTTATAGATGCATCATAGTAACTAAGCAAATATAAACCACAGTCCCAGCAAAGTAAGAAAAAATGACATAATAATACACATACAATTATATATATATATATATTTGAATTAACTTCTTAAAATAACCACTTATAAGTACAGAAAATAAGAAGGAAAAAATGAAGAAAGTTTCTGTGTGAGATAAAATTAACTAACTTATGCAGAAGTTAAAAATAAACTTTTGAATAAGCTAATAAAAAAGAGCTTCTATAAATTAGTTACTACATTAAGTAGAATTAACTTATTCAGAAACTTATTCTATTTTTCTTTTCCTATAAGTGTTTAGGAAACTATACAAACAGAACCCTAATAGGTTTCTTTTCTTCTTTCCTTCTCAGATAAAATATAGATAGAATATAGATAAATAACAACCTTACCAGCGATAGTGGTTACAGATTTTGCTCATAATGAAGGTGTAGCATGAATGTCCAACACCATACCTCCAATTATTACGACTTCTCCATTCCCATACTCCAATTTTTTTACCTCTTAGTGCAACCTTGTCACCACCACCAACAACAAACAAATATCAAATAAATTTGCACAGAATCCATAGAGAAAAAAGCAGAGATAAATAAAACAAAAATGACATTAAAAAGAAAGATGAGGGTACACAAATATTAGCACAAAAAGAGCTTCAAATTTAATTTCACGAACCAACATTTTTTTTGTTAGAGTTTGCTCAGTTGAAACCTATAACTTTGTGTTTGTCCTTATGATTCTATAAGAATAAATAGTATGCCTTTCTACCCAGTTCAGGCATCATTTAGAAAATCTGCTCTTCTAAGTCAGAATGGGTTAAATGTAATTAACTGCTTATAAAACATCCAATAGACTGAGTGAAACTACCAATCCTCAAGTATAGTAGTGTGGGATTTCAAAACTGTCCGTGAAATAATAAAAGATTCCTCCTAATCACAATTAATGTATCATGTATCAAACATTAAGAAATATACCTCTCTCAGGATAAGGCATCACTATGAATTACGAGAAAAATCAAATTTTTAATCATGGATCCCAATCAAAACAGTGTCAAAACAGTGTCTACAAGAGAAAAGCAAGGAAGAAAGAGAAGAACCAATAACCCGAAGTGATTATCAGAATAGCATTGAAATCACAATTACAATTATTTTTACAAAATTCCTAAAAAAATCCTTGTCCTCAAGGATTAAAATTGTCAGAGAAAATTTTCACGTCTACTCAGCCAGCAAGTAATTGGGTTTCTCAATCCCAGACACCTCAGTATCCAGTATCCCCTTCATCTTTCACCTCTTTCTTGTGGGTCAAATCATGCCTCTTTCTTGTGGATCAAATTATGTGTTATGTGTCGAGATTGCAGCACCCAAAACTTCCCTTTAAAAAGGGTTGATTTAATAGCCAGATTCATACATTCGTGCAAATCTAAAGGCAAATTCTACAGATTTCGATTGGAAAGTCCTTACCTTCTTTTCAATTTCTTTTTTTAATCCACCCAAAAAAAGACTTACTATGTATTCTTCAGATATATTTGATAGATTCAATCTAGTAGTAATTGAATCAAATTTTTCATAATATTCCTGCACAGAATTCTCCTGCCATAAACGTCCCAATTCTGCCATAGGATCGTCAATGCTCTCGGTTATTTTCTGCATATTCAATTCTTGCATAATTTGTTTGAAAGAAGAAGCAAACCCCATAAAACTATCATCCATCTTTTTATATATACGTTTCTCTGTCTGATCAACCATTTGAAATATACTTCCTCCATTTCTTTTATGGCCCGAACCAATTCTTGCCCTATACGTTCTTCTATATCTTTTCCTGCCTGAGTAAGAGATTCTTGCAATATTTGTTCCTTCATGTCTTTTACTTCCTCACGGACCAATTTTTGCACTATTCCTCTCAGAGAATCAATAAACTCCATATATCGATCATCCATCAGTTTAGACGTACGTTCCTCTATATCTTCTAGTTTAGATATACGTTCCTCGATATTTTCCATGTCTTTTACCGCTCGCCTGGGTCTCTTTTATCCCCGGAGTCGAACAGGAACGGCTAGTCTCTGCAATAAGAGATCGAATGATACCAATAAGAGAAAAAAAGGAAGAACGAAAGAATAGAATGCATTATCAGAATGGACAAGGAAATGAAAGAGTTTTGAGCAGTTACAAGGAAATGAAGAAATGAAAGGGTTTTGAGCTTACAGAGAACTCAGCTAAAGAAGAAAAGGCTGAAAGAAATCTACAAGTTAGATCGAACTCTCCTGGATATGCTTTTCTTAATCTTTCCCGTAGGAGAGTCACAGATGAGGGAATTGCCGATGCCCCTATCTTTCTTCTGATCCGCCCCTAAACAATAGCAATAGCACGAATCCTAACTTGAAAATGGTAAAGGGAAGCAAAATAAGGTACAGGGACCTCACGGGTTTCAGGCCCGCGAAGGGAATGTAGATTCGGTCATGGAGTAATTTGTTTGTAAACTTGGTTACACAGAAGAGAATGAGGGGAACATGATCTACATGTTCTCTAGTTTTAGCCTCATCTACAAAAATTCTAAATTGATAATAAATTATTATGAATAAATTACAGAGGATAATTAATTTTAAAAAAGATGAGAAAATAAAAATATTTTTTAAAAAAATTATAATTAATTTCAACATTAAAAAAATTATTGAAAAACACTGTCATTTGATTCAATTAATAAATATTATCTGATATAAATATTATCTAATATAAAAATAACTTTTGTATTTAATGTATCATAAAATAAAAATAAAATTTTATACATTCTAACTGTAATATTTTTTTTAAAATTAAATAATTTCATTTCATTTTTTAATATTTAAATTTCTCTGTGATGAAACTACCAATGTCTGTAATCTATATTACTATCAATTTATAATGATTTTACCTTTAATATTTATATTTTTAATTAGTTTTATATAATTTTTATGATTTTATTCTTGATACTATCGTATTTGATTAATAATAAAATATTTAATCATATTAATAATTTTATACTTTTGTAAAATGTAGATTATTTACTCTTAATATTTAATAATTACATAAAAATACATTTTTAGTTATATTAACTAATTTATAGTATTGTAAAATATATAAACATTTATATATATACACGTGTTTACATTAATAATGTATAAATATGAAAAATAAAGATTTTAAGAGTCCGTCCAGTAAAAAATAAAATTAAAAGATAAATAAAAAGTAAAATAAATAAAAATATACATATTAAAAAGATATAAAAAATCATTTAAAAGGAAATAACTAGAAAATTTAATATTTATATAATTATAAATTATTCTTATAATTATTAATTATCTTTTTATAAATAAAATAATTTGTAAAATTAACACATTCGAATTAAATTTGTTTAATAGTTTATATTTTGAATATTATTGTAAAATATACTTTATTATAACATATAATTTGATATATACTTCTAATAATTGAATTAAAATTAATAAAGATTATATAATATTAAATATATTAAATTATTTTATTTAACTTTATAATAATTTATATATTTATCAAAATTATAAAATAATAATTAAAAATTAAATTATATATATATATATATATATTAATCATTCTATTTATATTTCATTGTTTATATTTAATACAGAAATATTAAATATAAATTGTTTCCGAGAAGAATTTATAATATATGATGATATATAAATTAAAAAAAATCGTGAAATAATTATTTTCATTTTTAATTTATCAAATTTTATAAAATAATAATAGAAAAGTAATTTAACTTTTTATTAATATTTAAATATTAAAATTTAAAAAACAAATATTTAAAAAATTATTCATACAAACTTATAAATATTTTTTTATTAAATAAAATAATTTCTTAAAATAATTATTTTAATTATATGTTTTCATTTCTTTTTCTCTCATATATTATTAGAAAATAAGCAATAAAAAGTAACATATTTTTTCTAATATCTTGATTTGTTTGTAGTTATCAACTTAGTTTTCATCTTAGATTAAGTGTTAAATTAAATAATTTAAATTTATTATTATGATTTTGTTTATAATATTCTAATTTTCTCTATAATAATTTTAATTATAATGTATAAAATAAAAAATATATTATATTAATAAAGATAAATTTTTAATAAATAAAAAATATTATTGACTGAAAATTAAATAATTTATATAAAAATAACAACTTCAATAAATAACATAAAAAAATCTAAATATATTCATAATTATTCTTCTTATTTTTTTAATCACAAATATTGCATAATCAAACGAAATTATTAATAAAAGAATTGTAACTTTTTGAAAGTATAATTATTATGTATATAAATTATTTTTATATATATTTTAAGAGAAAGAAATATTTATTCGGAACTGAAATATATAAATTTTTCATATAATTTTAGTTTCAATAAATATAATTTGGTTTAAAAGTTTTAATTTATTCAATTTTAATATATATATATATATTTATATATATATTATATTTTAAATAACTATAATTTACTCTAATATGCATATAATTTACTATTATTATATATTATATAATAATCATAATATAATTTATTTTTAATATATCATAAAGAGTAAATTTATTTTTAATATATAATAAACTTATAGTGTAATATTATAAAAATTTCGTACTTTTTTTAAGTTTATTTAAAGACTTTTATGTTATATTTTTAACTCATTAGCATTTTTGTTGATCGTAGAAAACACATAAATCTCAACTCCATAAACAAATAAAACCCTAATCTCCAAACCTTTCCACCGCTACCACCTTGCATGATTAGGTCCATCATTTTCCTGCCAAGCTGAGGAAGCATGTGCATTACAATAAAACTAATCACTAAACCAAAATATAATAGATTTTCTAAAATATATATAACTGACAATAAAAAATAAAATAAATTACAGTGAAAATGATAATTTGTCCTATTTTCTCACAACCATAACAAAATATATTATAATAAAATTGATAATTAATATTATGTTATTTTAGTTATATATATATATATATATATAGATATATATATAGATAGATAGATATATATATACACACACAACCACTTATTTATATTTTTAATTAGTTTTATATAATATTTATGATTTTTATTTTTGATACTATCGTATTTGATTAATAAATAAATATTTAATTATATTAATTATTTTTTACTTTTGTAAAATGTAGATGATTTACTCTTAATATTTAATAATTGCCTAAAAAATACATTTTTAGTTATATTAACTAATTTATAGTACTGTAAAATATATAAACATTTATATATATATATATATATATATATATATATATATATATATATATACGTGTTTACATTGATAATGTATAAATATGAAAATTAAAGATTTTGAGGGTCCGTTCAGTAAAAAATAAAATTAAAATATAAGTAAAAAGTAAAATAAATAAAAATATACATATTAAAAAATCATTTAAAAAGAAATAACTAGAAAATTTAATATTTATATAATTATAATTTATTCTTATAATTATTAATTATCTTTTTATAAATAAAATAATTTGTAAAATTAACACATTCGAATTAAGTTTTTTTAATATAGTTTATATTTTGAATATTATTGTAGAATATACTTTATTATAACATATATAATTTTAAAATTTGAATTAAAATTAATAAAGATTATATAACATTAAATATATTAAATTAATTTTATTTAACTTTATAATAGTTTATATATTTATCAAAATTATAAAATAATAATTAAAAATTAAATTATATATATTAATCTTTCTATTTATATTTCATTGTTTATAGTTAATACAGGAATATTAAATATAAATGGTTCTCGAGAAGAATTTATAATATATGACGATATATAAACTAAAAAAATCGTGAAATAATTATTTTCATTTATTTATCAAACTTTATAAAATAATAATAGAAAAGTAATTAAACTTTTTATTAATTTTTAAATATTAAAATTTAATAAAAAAATATTTAAAAAATTATTCACACAAAATTATAACATAAGAATAAATATTTTTTATATAAAATAATCAAAATAATTATTTTAATTATATGTTTTCGTTTCTTTTTCTCTCATATATTATTAGAAAATAAACAATAAAAAGTAACATATTTTTTCTAATATCTTTGTTTGTTTTTAGTTATCAACTTAGTTTTCATGTTAGATTAAGTGTTAAATTAAATAATTTAAATTTATTATTATGATTTTGTTTGTAACATTCTAATTTTCTCTATAATAATTTTAATTATAATGTATAAAATAAAAATATATTATATTAATAAAGATAATATATATAATAAAGATAATTTTTTAATAAAAAAATATTATTGACTAAAAATTAAATAATTTATATAAAAATAACAACTTCAATAAATAACATAAAAAAATATAAATATATTCATAATTATTCTTCTTATTTTTTTAATCACAAATATTGCATAATTATACAAAATGAAGAAATCATACTTAAAGTGTATCATTGGTAGAAATATTAACAATTCCAGAAGGACACTCAAAAGTGTGAAAATAATATCTGTGGGACTTAAATAACAATCTATTGTTATAATAATAGACGTCTACCTAAAGCATATATGTTATCCCTTTTTCTTTGATATTTCAAATTTCAAAACTTATCCAATTCAAACTATTTTTCATAAATTCTGTAGAATCTTACAATCTCTACCGATTTCTAATCTATACTTTCTTCTCCGATCTTGAATAATGTCTAGATTTTGACTACTTGCTGATACGGCCAGGAGATAAAGAAAGTTTAATAAAAATTCAGAAAATAGTTATTAATTCATATTTCAATGCCAAAAGCCTTTGGATGATGTTACCGTTTGTTTTGTCTAAAGAAAGGAGGTTGGTATATGGCAGCTCAAACGGTTTATCTATCATCATCCTCATTCAAAATTTACAACATCGATGGGTGGAAAAGAACTTTGGCACCGGAGTATACAGATTTTGCATCATCTGCACAACACAGGGCACAAAAACACACGGTCATCATTGAAAAGATTGTGCAGAAAAACACACCGTCATCACTGAAAAGAAGATGGCATAATAATGGTTGAAAGTAACAAAAATTTATTTGCTATCAGGATGCTAATCGGTTCACTACGTAACTTTCAAACATGCAACAAAAATAACAACTAGATATGCATATGACCATGGCTATACCTAAAACACAAAGCTAAAACTTTACCTGCGATAACTGATAAATTGAAAGAATTAGGGACATTAGCCTCAGCCTCAATTGCAGCTTTAGCCATTGCAATGCCAACTGACACACTTAGCATAATATCTAATCCTGCACAAATTGATGTGAGTGTTCCACCGACTAAGCAATCACCAGCACCAGTAAGCCTCACAACTGAAGCAGGAAGAGATGGAAAATGCACAGCACAAAGAGGAGAGCTTTTATCAAGTTTTGAAAAGCCAGAATAAGGACTAGGTGGGCAATTTTGCATGAAACTCTTGTATAATTGTCCACCAAAACCACTCCGATTTATCTTCTCTGTAGGCTTTTTTAAGTAGCTAGGCCCTTCTTTATTGCATAAAAACTAGTAGAGGGAAGATACCTTTCAAGCATATGATATAATATTGTTAGCAAAATAAGTAGTAAAAGTGACATGAATGTTATTAATGTATTTCTACCTTAATTTTCTAGACAACTTTTTCATCATATCGTGATCAAATTAGATAAGCGATGAAGAATTCGTTCTATAATCAATATATAGTGAGCTTTTGGACAAAAATTTACATATCGACTACTACTTGGTTTGTGTTATACGAATTACCAGAGCAAGATGGTGTATGAGGCAAATGCAAGATTGAGGGACCTTGTGTATGACTGTGTATGGGTTATTTAATCTCTTCACCAACACATTGATGTGTTGCAGACCCAATCACCTGTGGCGTAACCTGAAGTTGTGCACCTTAGACTCCGCCACAGTGCATCCCTCTACAGCCCCACTAGGCCTACCAACAATGCCTCTCCATCATCCAAGATCATTCACTCACAATCCAAGCCCATTCCTGATATGGACATGGACATGGTGGTGGATGAGACCACCTATGGTCATTCAATGTGGTGATACATGCAACCATTTCTTTTTAATTATATTCATATTATATTACACTAGTTTACCTAGTTACATCATGCAAAGATACAAAACCAAAGACAAGTTTAGGAGGCATTATGAACCCACTTTCAACAGCACTTTCATAACAAACAATTTACAAATTAAACAGATAACGAACCAAGTATTCAGCAAAAAATGAATAAAAAGTGTGGACTAACATGAACTCAACAATTTTGCATAAACAGTTCACTACAGGAACAAAATGAGAAGAATGCACTTACTTGAACCGTCAAAATGCAGGTCAGGAAAAGGATTTCCGATAGATAATGATAATGGAGGAGATTGATGGTCAAAAGAAGGTCACAAATCAACAAATTTCTTCAACATTGGTGCTACTATCCCGCACAAGTGATATTCAATTACTGTCGGCCTAACTGATTGAATTTCCATTTTATTTACAGGTAGGGTTCGCTCGAGCGACTTGATTGTCGATTATTTTTAATTATGACATATTAATTAAAATTATAATCGATTAGAAAAAATTATGATCGATTATTTCCCAATTATAATCGATCATCTGAACTTATAATCGATTATAATATAAAATAATCGATTATTTTATCTGCGTTGGGTATTCTAGGGTTGTATTTTGCTCAAGTGAATCAAATCTCGCTCGAGCAACAAGTGATTGAAATATGTGGTGACCCAAGTTATATTATGTGGCTAACTATGTTTGACCTTTAGTTTATGGTCAACACCCGCTCAAACGAAAAATACATCGCTTGAACGAGGACACCTGTAAATAATAGGGATTGTCGTGTTGTGTTTCGGTCAAGCGAAGCAAATCTCACTTGAGAAACAAGTGATTGAAATATGTGGTGACCCAAGTTATATTATGTGGTTAACGGTGTTCGACCTTTAGTTTGTGGTCAATAGTCACTCAAGCGAAAAATACATCGCTTGAGCGAGGAAACATACAAATAATGGGGATTCTCGGGTTGTGTTTTGCTCAAGCGCCGTAATTTTCGCTCGAGCGATAAGTGATTCAAATATGTGGTGAAACAAGTTATATTATGTGGCTAACTGTGTTAGACCTTTAGTCTATGGTCAACACTCGCTCAAGCGCGAAATCCATGGCTTGAATGAGGTGACCTGCAAATAATGGGGATTCTCGGGTTGTGTCTCACTCAAGTAAGGTAAATCTCGATCGAGCGACAAGTGATTCAAATATGTGGTGACCCATGTTACATTATGTGGCTAACTGTGTTGGACCTTTCGTCCGACGATGGTCAATTCTCGTTGTTGCGAGTAGTACAACACTTGAGCGATGAAACCTACAACTAATGAGTATTCTTGGGTTCTATATCGCTGATGAAGCGATGAAGTTGAGACACGAGCGAGAAGTACTTGAAATATGTGTTGACCCGAGTTATGTTACATGGCTACGCGCTTTTTGTGTTGGACCAATAGGCCGATTCATGAGGCCGATGAAGTATATGAAATAATGGAGGTCTGAAGTTCCATGAGAACTGGGATGTACACCTGCTGCAATAGATAGCTACTTCACTATTGCTTAACAATATGATATACAACCACAACTTAATTTGTTACAATTTTATATTTGTTTTGTAATTTTAATAAATTTCTACTGCTAATTTTTCTGGTAACAGATTAACATACGTACTAACACCTTAAATGAAGCTGACTTTGTCGAACATAGTATTGCCGAATGTAAAGTAAGAACTATTCATACTTATCATAGGTATAAGCTAACTTCAAAATTGTTTCCTTTATATAAGCCTCAGACGTGACATGCGAATTTCAATTTGTTTTTTGTTAAGCGCATTCTTTACAACTTATATTAAACATGATGTTATCTGTTGTGTATAAAGATAATACGTAAACCTATACATCTCTCCTACAATGAATATTATCACTTGTACAATTTCCATATGCTAGTTTATATTGTTCTCTTCCCTTGTTCTTTTGATCTTAATTTCTTTTATATTACAAATTAATATCTTGCCATCACAAATTCAAATGGAAATTAGTGAGCATTTTGTTTTATGAAACTAAGTTGTACTTGGCCGATTCTTGATATTACTATGATGTTTACTTCAGAAGTGAAGGAGCGGGTGGTGACCACGCTCCAAATATCATCAAAGTATGTGTATGAAGAATGTTCTACCCTCATCAACCAATCCAACACGCCCTTTAACAATTAATACGATAGAGGAGCATCTTCATATGTTGGTAACATATAAATCTGGTAGTAATTACGTGTATTTTGTAGACATGTGGTTCTCAATATAGACTCTCTGTTACATGCAGATGGTCTGCCATTATCTGAATAGGGATATTTTGGAACTAGAAGGGTAAAACCCAATGAATAATGTAATTGTCAACATAAACAAAAATGATACAAAAAATAGTACGCATGGTCCAAAATCAGTAAATTGTACAAAGTGTCCACTTGTTAATGTCATAATATTTAGCATTTAAATAATCCATAACCAACTTAACGGTTATATTACATATGAATAAACTATACAATATTGATCATTGAAGATGAACAAATAAGCAAATACAATATCCACATTTCTATTCCTAAATGGGGATGTTAACTCCTGATTCAATAACCATGACTTGTCGATGAAGATTTTGAGGATGAAGTATCCATCTGCATACATATTCTTCTCGAAATTTCTGAAGTTGCTCCTGTACAATATGAAGAATGTCATAATAAATTATACTCATAGTAATAAAAAACAAAACATTAATAAAATGACTTTAATGTTTACCGATGTGTAATGAGGCATGCTTTTCTCATTCACTTTCCTCACACCATCCCACAACTCCATATATTTTAAAACAAACAATCCACAATCATAACTGCACATATACTTTCTCTCTAGCGGTAAAGTCTATTATTATTAACCTCATTCTAACCTTACCTCTTACAAATAAATGATATATTCAACATGTTTATTGTAACATTCAGTATTTCCCAAAAATATTTCATTAATATAATAAAATATTTTGTCATTAACTTTAATAAAATTGTATTATGAGTTATTTTAAGACTTGATAATTTTTAAAGATATTAATAAATAATATATATTATGAAATTTTTAATAGAGTGAAATAGATAAATTTAGAATTGAGTTTAAAATGAAGTAATAATAATAATAATAAGAGTAATATCATTAAGTAAAATTAGTAATATAATTTCTCATTGATGAAAGAATTTAATTGGAAAGTGCAAAAGTAAGTGAGGGTAATTTTGGAAAGGTGGTCAAATTTAAAGAAGAGAAAGACCAATTTTCTTTCTCACTTACGGAAGCCATTTTGGGAGCATGGGAGGAAGAAGAGAAACTTGATTTTGCTTGCCCACACCATCTTGGTTCATCCTTTTTGCAATTAAGAGTAAGATCCATGAAATTAAGGCATTGGATTTCAATATTATCTCCTAAAATCTTCTTAATCTCAAATATATGGTCATTTTGATGCTTATAGGAGACAAACTTTTCTTGAACTAAGGATCTCCATTTTCTTGTTTGAAAGCTTCATTTGAGGTAAGGAGAGTCTACGATAGGCTAAACCATCATTTATCTCACTTCTACATTAATTGGAACCAAATTAAAATGTTTTATAAAAAAATTTCGTATGGCTATTTTAGTATATTTAGATACTCTACAATGCTCCTTTTATATTTTAGAGTTTAGAAATGGATTCCTTGAATGTTAAAACCTAGAGTTAGCCATAAAAATCACTTAAATTGGATTTTTCTAGAGGAAGATGATGAAATATATGTTGAGAGATGTTGTTGGACAAAAATCTGCATGTGAATTGAATCTTTGGGAAATTAAGTAAAAATATTTACTTGGTATTTAAATTCTGAAATTTTGATTACATGTTCCTTTATATGTCTATTTCGTCTGTGATTTATTTCAAAATTTTCTAACAAGTGAATTTACGATGAAAAATCTTGGAAGTAAATAGGTTTTGAGTTGGGTGAAACAGAATTATGTCCGCTCAGCAACTTTGAAAAATCATATAAAATTGAAATTAAAGTTTTTTTTAGATGAAATTTTTATCATAGTTATGATTGTAGATATATGTTAAGCATATTTATTTTCATAATTTTATGAGCATTAATTTATTTTATAAAAATATATCTTTGAGTAATGCCCATGATAGTGGAATATATGTATTTTGGACTTGAAAATTTTCATAAAATTTGGAGTTAGTTTAGATGGCAAAGAATTTTTCCAAAGTTACACTTTTCTAATGCTTATGATAAACTTTTCTTCCTAGAGAAGTATAAACAAAACTTTAGTTACTGTACCTATTATTTATTTTATGAGTATGTATGATGTGAGAAT